TCACCGAAAAACTATAATCCAGGCGCCGGTCCAGCCCGCCCCCTTGCCACCCCCAAGCCCGTAGCCAGTGTCCAGCTCGACCTGCTTTCCCTCCAATGCCCCTTACCCCTACACTGGGCACCCAGGTGGGCGGGACTGGAGCCGGGCAAGCTGATGCCCATGGATGCCACTGGGCAACGCCAGGCTGAGGCCACTCCCCCCCGCACCTGTATCCCCAGCTTTGAATGCCCTGTACAGGGCAGGCACTTCATCAACCAGCCAACCAACCAACGCAAGCAGCACTGGGCCTGCGGTGGGCCAGGCACTGGGGCTACAGGGGGTGGGATGGGAGGGTGGGCACGGGAGGCCTCTCTGCCAGGTACCACCACGCTGAGACCGAGCGGCCAGCTCATGCCAGCCTTGGACTTAGAAGAATGGAGGACAGCCAGCTGGTGGGGAAACCAGGAGGAGGGGAGGCTGAGGCGGGAAGGGGGCCCTGCGCCCCTCCCCAACTACCTCGGAGACACAAGCCAGCGGCACAGAGGACAGAGGACCTCTGTCCACAGTTAGAGACTGGTGGGCCGGAGCCCAGGCAGACCGGATGGGGCTGCAGCAGCACACGATCTGACACCGCACTGCCCTCCGCAAATGCCGTCCACTGGTCTGTGGTGGGGCATCCCTGGCGGCTCAGTGGTGAAAAAAAATCTGCCTGCCACTGTAGGAGATGCAGGTTCAATCCCTAGGTCAGGAAGGTCCCCTGGAGAAGGGAATGGCAACCCACCCCAGAACTCTTGGCTGGAGAATCCCATGGACAGAGGAGCCTGGAGGGCTACAGTCCACGGGGTCGCAAAGAGTTGGACACGACTGAGCGCACATGCCTCCACGCGCGTGTCTGTGGTGACCTCTGGGGGGTCAGCTGGCCCCCGTAACATACTGGCCAGAGTCCACCTGGAGGAGACGGTGTCCTCTCCGGGTTCACGGGGGTAAAGGAGGGGTCACATCAGGGATGAGAGATGCCGCCCAGGTAGGCTGGGATTCCGTAACCAAGGACCAGCAAGGGAGTGAGACCAGTGCCAAACAGTGACACTGGCACAGAGTCTGGAGGAGACGGGCCAGCCCGCGTGCCACGTGTGAGCCATCCGTCGGGGGTGGGTTTATCCCAGGTTTGGGAGTCAGGCCTGACTTGAACAAAAAGATCTCTTTCCCCATCTGTAAAGTGGAGGCAAGACGACGTCCCCTGAAGGCGGTGACGAGGATTTGAAATGACATGTTCGCTCAAACCACTGGGGGCTGTGACCCGCCTCCCCACGCTGGGGCTGTAAAATAGCACCTGTTTAGTTACACTCACAGGGTGCAGACAGGGCCTCCCTGCTCTGTGCCACCTGGGGGCTCAGCTGGCCAGTCCCAAGTGGACGAGTGAGCCAAAGGGCTGGGGTCAAAATCCCCCAGAGAGTCTCCCACTCACAGGTCTGATGCCCGCGTGAGGATGCCGCAAGGCTGGGCTCGCCGGGGCCTCCCATGACGGGCTGGCCTGGTGCCCCACGTGGGCCTGCGTCTCACGGTGCCATGACAGGGGCTTCCAAGAGCATCCCCGAGGCTGAGGATGAAGCTGCACCGCCCTGGACTCACGCAGCGTCACTCAGCCTCAGGACCTGGTCACGAAGGCAGCCCAGAGCCGAGGGGAGGGAATTCATCGACTCCAGCTTTTNGCGGTGCCCTGGTTTACGCCTCAAAGCCCCGAGGGACTCAGGCCCTTCTTGGACCCTTCACTCGGTCTCAGGCCTGGCTCTGTGACACCACATGCTCTGTTCCAGCAGGTGGCGCCCGGCCACTGCCCACAGGACAGATGTCCTCCTGACGTGGGGGCCGGGGAGGGGGAGAGGGGGTGCCTGGGAGGATGGAGGCTTGAGGGAGCCCTCGCTGGACGGCCCCCCACCCCCGCCAGGGGCAGCCTGTGAAAAATCGCAGCACACGTCGGGGGTCTCCCCCAGCCCTGCCACTGAGCTGGCCCTGAGGACACAGCCTCCTCTTCATCCTCGCGGCTCCAGACCTGGCGGTGGTCGGGCTGCAGATACGGGGGCGTCCAGCCCATCTACTGAATGAAACAACAGAACGGAGCAGAGCATGTGGTCAGAAGTACAGTTTGTGAAGCTTCTGGAGTTGTTTAATCATGTGCGTGTGTGGACTAGATCATGATATAGAGAGACATCTATCTTACTGTGTGGGCTATGGTAAGGAAACTGAGCCAGTGGGAGAGGCTGATCAGTCAGCCAGATCTTTGAGCTTTTGAGGTGGAGAAAGGGTATGGTTGAGATTAGTCAGAACCACTAACTCCCACCAAGTGCTGGGCGGGTGGGGGGCAGGGAAAGGGTGGCACACAGTTGGAGGCGGTCTCCCGGAGGTGGGGATAGTGACTGGGGTTTTAAAGGGTGAATAGGAGCTCACTGGGTGGAGGACAGGCAGAAGGACAAAAAAAGCTAGTGTGAAGGGACAAGGGCAGGAGCAAAGGGGCCTCCTTACAGGGCTGAGGAGCTGGCCTGGATAGGGCGTTTCCAAGGGACAGGGCTGGACCTGGGTCTAAGGAAGAATACCAGCACCCTCGGTTAGGGTACAAAGCAGGGGTCAACTGCAGAGGGCCAGCCACAGAGAAGATGCAGTTTCATTATCCCTTCTTACAATACCCTTCTGCTCCCCCATCCTCTCCTGCTGCTCCCTGACCTGATCTGGGCCCCTTCCTCCCCTCTCCACCATGACACGGTCAGACTTTCCTCACCAGCAGAGCGGCACCTGAAGGGATAGACCCACCATGTGTGTCTCCAAGCACCGCGACCCATCCCAAGGATAGGGCGGGGCGAGGGCTGGTTGGGGTCAGGACTTGCGCGCCTGGTGACGCTGCTGGTAGGTAGGGGCTCCAGCCCTGGAGGGTCAGCCAAGGGGAGGTCAACACCCAACTGTCTTCTGCAAAGGATGTCTGAGGAACTGGCCTCTACTAGAGCAACCGGTGTGGAAAAGGCGGTGGCACCCCACTCCAGCACTCTTGCCTGGAGAATCCCAGGGACGGGGGAGCCCGATGGGCTGCCGTCTATGGGGTCGCACAGAGTCGGACATGACTGAAGTGACTTAGCAGCAGCAGCAGAGCAACCGGTGGCAAAAACAACGACCAAGAGCAGGACCCCAGGCGCTGGGGGTGCAACCAGCTTCTTCCACGTGTGGAAACAGGTTCTCCACACCCGACAGAATTCAGGCAGGTGAACTTGCCGACTACATCCAAGGAGCGTTAAGCTTCCCCTACCCTGACCTCGATCGGATTAAAATACTTAAAACACGTCTACACCGACATCCTCTCTCCCAGGGCTCCGTGGGTCCCTACACGGGAGCCCGACATGTGCGGGTGCGGGGTGTCAACCAGTCCGCCCTGACTCCCTGCATTCGGGGACCTTGGGTGCTGTCCCCAGTCCGCNGGGCGGGGGTTGGGGGGACGCATGGGTGTCGCCCCGGCCCCCCACCTGGAAGCGCGTGGCGCAGACCCGCTGTTTGCGGCCAGGTGGGCAACGGGAGGATGGCTAGCAGCCCACCCCCGGCTGCGACCCCGCAGGAGCGCCGAGGTCTACGGGGGCGGCTCTCAGGGCCGCCAAGGGTCTGCCCTGCCTCTGGGGGTCGAGGGCCTAGCACTGGGCGGGCGGGGGTTGGGGGGACGCATGGGTGTCGCCCCGGCCCCCCACCTGGAAGCGCGTGGCGCAGACCCGCTGTTCGCGGCCAGGTGGGCAACGGGAGGATGGCTAGCAGCCCGCCCCCGGCTGCGACCCCGCAGGAGCGCCGAGGTCTACGTGCCATCAGATGCTGTCAGACCTGGTTCTGGTCGCAGCCTGCGGGCGGGGCTGGGCCTGTGCGCCGGGGAGGGTGGACGCGCCCGGCCTCCCCTTTCCTCCCGCTCTGGCCAGAGCAGCACGTGGGCGGCGGGAGAGGGAGCTAGCTAGCACCAGCCCCTCTGCAGGCCCCCAGGCCGCACGCCACGTGACGGGAGGCCGGTGCCCTGGGCAGCGCCTCCCCGGGGCCTGTCGTTAACTTTGCCGCTCCGATTTTACGCATCCTGTACTTCCAGTTCTGTGTTTTCCATCCACGACCCAGGCACAGCTATAAAGGGCAGTTGCTAGGCAAAGCTAGAGAGCCACTTGCTATTTTCTCCTCTCCGGTGGTCCAGTCCCATGCCCTGCGATGACACCACTGGCCAGCCCTGGGCTGCCATCTCCTCCTCTTCCAGGCATGGGCAGCCCTTGCCCAGTAATGCCTGCTTCCTACAGCTCCCCTGGGAGCCCAGTGCTGCTGGCATCCTCATGGTGCAGAGCAGGAATGGTCTCAGAGGGTGAGGTGACCTGCCCACGGTTCCTCCTGGTGAAGGTCAGCACCAGGGTTCAGGCACCGCAGGGGGAGCGCAGAGCCCTGTGCCAGCTGCCTGACCCCCAGCACTTGGCCTGTCAAGTCGCTAAAGAGAGTGACCCAGTCAGCCCAGTGGGCGCCCTCTCCCGCTTCCTGTTCTGTGCTGGTTGCCAGCCCGGGGCTTATTTGCCCCGGATAAAGCAGCCACAGAAGAGCAGGCAGCCTTGGGCATCCCAGCTAAAAGCCAGACACCCAGTCCACTGCAGGGGACTCGCCAGGCCTCTGGGGAGGGGGAGATTAGCCGGGGTTTCTATTGGCCCTTTCCTGTTTTAGCACTGACTGCACTGGGGGGTCTGCGCCCTCTGTCCTGACCCTTCTTCCTGGTGTCACTGGTGGAATTTTGGTTCCCACGTGATTGTGAGTCCCTTCAGAGTGTCCTCAGCCTTTTGAAAACGATAACTCAGTGACGCTCCAGTCCCCGACTCCGTCTCCCGGCAGCCCTAGGCTGGCTGTGTCCTGGCTGACCCGGCTCCTCTTCGTGTCGCTCTCCCTGCAGGCCCCCGCCTCCCCCGGTGCTCAGCCTCGGCCGCCCAGGCCCAGGCGCCCACGACGCCTATGCTGAGCGCCGCCGCCGCCCGGACCCGATGCCGGTCATGCCCATCCCCCGGCGGGTGCGCTCCTTCCACGGCCCGCACACCACCTGCCTGCACGCCGCCTGCGGCCCGGCGCGCGCCTCGCGCCCAGCCCGCACCAAGTACAACAACTTCGACGTGTACGTCCGCGCGCGCTGGCTCTACGGCTTCATCCGCTTCCTGCTGTACTTTAGCTGCAGCCTCTTCACGGCCGCGCTGTGGGGCGCGCTGGCCGCCCTCTTCTGCCTGCAGTACCTGGGCGTCCGCGTCCTGCTGCGCTTCCAGCTCAAGCTGTCGGCGCTGCTGCTGCTGCTGGGCCGCCGGCGCGTGGACTTCCGCCTCCTCAACGAGCTGCTGGTCTATGGCATCCACGTGACCATGCTGCTGGTCGGGGGCCTGGGCTGGTGCTTCATGGTCTTCGTGGACATGTGAGGGTGCCGCGGGTTCTCTGGGGGCGGCTGGGGGCCACCTGGCTGTAGGTGCACCAGCGAGGGGTGCTCTTCTTGCCGGGATCGCTCAGGGCCCCTTCCGCCCCGTCCCAGAGGAAGGACCTCCCTGCGCGCCTGGGTCTCCTGCTCGGACAGGAAAGAGCGGAGACTTTTCTGTGAAGGGGACGCTGGCGCCCTCGCTCCTGCTGGTCTTTGCTTCAGCCCTTCTCTGTGTGCATCCGCGGGGCCACCTGCTTGTGGTTCCACCTGCACTTTCCCAGCAATTCCAGAGGGGACTCGTCGGTCCAGTCTGTACTTGGAGAGCCTGGGTCCCTGTCCCCTCTCCAGGCACCGGCATCACCAGTGCTGGTGTGAAAGGCCCCTGGGAGGGGTGTGGTGCCCAGGTGCAGGCCTGGAGGGGGCTTCTCCCAGCTGCACTGTCCCCTCCGGTGCGCCCCCAGCCCCTGCGCCAGCCTTAGGGAAGCGTCGGGCTCCACCAGCTGACGCCCCGCACTGCCACCAAGCTCTTCACTCCGCCCTGGGCCACCAAGTCCTGGCTCAACCCACACACTGTCCTCCATATGTTACCCTGTGAGGCGTCCTGAGTCCCAGACCGGGCTTCCGTGTCACCGGGGTTCACTTGGCAGGCTGCTAGATCAGGAGGGGGCGTGCTGGTTCCAGGGCACGCCTGTCTTCCTCCTGGGCAGGTCTGTTGAGAGTGTCGGCCAGATGACGTCATCTCTTCAAGTGTGACTTTCTGAGGCGGGCAACTCAGTGTATTTCTGGCTTTAGGGGGGGTGTGGGATTCAGCCTCTTCCCTGGAAGGAACATCCAGGATTAAGACTTGTGTGTCGGGAGCAGAGATCAGAAGTGGCCCAAGTACTGTGCTTTAAGAAACACCTCTTGGAGTCGTGGGTACCCCAGGCTGGACTTTCAAGTGAGGGACTCGGTGGCCCTTGTTCCTGCCTCGGCAGCTGTCAGGGCAGCTGGGGGTCAGAGCAAGAGTGAATGTGGGCCAGGAAAGAACCAGGGGGCCAGGGCGGTTCCGACTGCAGAGAGAACATACCAAAGGGCTCGAGTCTCGCCCTTCCCCTCCCCCGCCTCCATCAGATGAGGCCAGGGTGGCCTTGGGCCTCGTAGGTAGGCAGGCGAGGGGCACTCTGAATGATTCAGCTGGGAGAACAGCCAGAGGCAGGACTTAGGGCCTCAGACGGGCAGGCGAAAGGCAGGCTAATGCTGCTCCACCCCAGGTTGTCCCCACAGCCCCGTCTGGCCAGGCTGCCTAGTGGCCAGGGGGGCTGTCAGGGCAGTTGTGTGCCGCTGGAAGAAAAAACCCAAATCAGGTAAAGAAAGCAAAAAATAACTTGGCTGCAAGCCGTGCTTTTTTATTTGTAGTCAGCTTCTGTCGGGCGTTTGTCCACTCAAGGTCAGCGGTGGGCTCCTCGGAGGGAGTGGGAAGCGAGTCTGTCCGAGTTACCTGGACGGCAGGCGAGGAGCCGATCAGCGTGGACCCCACTTCTCAGCGCTGCAGAGAATCTTTTGCACTAAATCATGCTGTCTCCTAAAAGCTTTGTTTTGTGTTGGTTGACTCCTGTTACTCTGAGGCCCCCCGTGGGCGCGTGCCCGTGGGGCTGGGGGTGGCAGCGGTGCGGACACGCCGCGTGTGTCCTCAGTGCCTGTGAAATTCTTTATGAAATGAGCCACCTGCATTAAACTTATTTTTTTAACATGTTGATGGCGTGACTGTTTACAGCTCAAAAAGTTTCTACCTTTTTTTTAGAGGATATAACAAGCCCGAAACACCACAGATGCCGTTTTTTCCTAAGTACAGTGGGACGCTTTTAAAAGCAGCACTGCCAAGCTGCAGAAGGGGTCCCTCCGTGCCCGGAGGCCGGGGCTTCCACTGCCGGCGCCTGGCCTTGGGGCTCGGCGGGGGCGGCCGCGAGACTAGGCCAGTGCTGGGTGAGGAGGGCCTGGTGAGGGTCGTGAGGCTGAATTCAACAACCACGTGCGTGGTCCTTACAAGACAGGACATGCCCTCTCGGGCCGGAATGGCCGTGGGCTTCGGACCTGTGCATACAGTGTGAACTCCGTTTCAGAGAGGACACCCACAAGGGAAATACTGGCAGAAAACCCAAGTTACAGTTCTTGTTTAGCCAAAAAGCAATTGGAAAAATGAGACGCACGTTCTTATTTATCTTTATTGAGTGAAGGCTTCCCTGGCTCCCGTGATGAGGAGCAGGTCCTCTCCTGCAGCCAAGGTGGCGGGAAAGCGCCCCTGGAAGGGGAGCTGTGGGTCCACGACAGGGCGGCCTCCCTGCCATCCCTGGAATTGGGGGGGGCTTGATGTATCAGTGGAAACCAACCCGAAGCCTCTTGGGGTTTAGCTTCTGATGGCAGAGTCGGTAGAATCTTCACAGAAGCCTTGGTCCTTGAGACGTCCCGGAGGACCCTCGGGAGGTTTAAGGTTTGTTAGATAGAGACTGGCCGAGGCTCGGGTGGGGCGATGCTCTCCGGCCAGGAAAGAGATGCCTCTTGGGTGCGCTGGCTTCATGGGGAGCAGGTGCCAGCGGGCAGCACCGTCCCAGGTTTGTCCTCACCGAGCCTCGGGGAGGCCCACCTTCTGCGGCTTCCACAGGTCACTGGGCCTGGCCGCCTCCCCACTTTCTGGGCGAGTTGGCGTGTTGGTGGTGGAGACGGTGGGCCTTGATTTTGGGAATCAGGGACGCCTGAGGACGGCAGGCAGGCAGGCACAGTGGCCACACAGAAGGAAGCTGGCCAGGGGAGGGGAGGAGCAGTGCCCGAGGCAGTGAGGGGCGGGGGTGGGGGGTGAGGCCTGGGAGGCAGCAGCGGTCAGCGCCCAAGCGTGGGAGACTCAGGGGGCACCGGGGGCCTGTGGCCTGCGAAGAGAGGACAGTCAGATTCGGGAGCCGTGATCCCTGGGCAGGGAGGGCAGCAGGTCAAGGCTGGGGCAGAAGCCGGGGGAGGCGCTTCCCTGGAACACAGAGCAGGGCCTGAGGGCTGGGTGGTGGCCTCCTTGGCACCAGGTGCTGGGGCCCTCTTGGCCGGTCAGCCATGGAGGCCTCGCTCCGAGGAGCACCCCGGCCCGCAGGGTGGGAGGGGCTGCCCGTGGGAAGTGAGGCAGCTTTGGGAGAGGGATCATGGCAAGAAGGGAATCTGTAGAAACCAGAGGTTTATCTGAGGAAGTCAGCCCCCGGGCAAGGGGGTGGACGAGGTGCCCTCGGAGATGCCCTCTTGGCTCGAGTCGCTTCTGGCGGCCCCGGGAGGGAGACCACACTCAGACTGCCATGTCCTCCCACCGCCCTGACCTCCTGAGCGCGCAGCCCCGGGGGAGGGACGCAGCCCCCGCCGGGAGGGTGGCCGGGGCAGGCGGCCGCCCCCTCGCCGCCCCTCTGCTCTGGGGGAGCATGCCCCGCACCGCGGCAGCAGAGGAAGGGCGGTCCCCTGGGACGCCCGTGGGTACTGACGTCCGCTGACCTTGAGAGTCCCTGTCCCCTCCGGCGCCTGATTGGCAGAGGGAGGCCGGCTCGGTGCTGACTCAGCGCTTCCTTCCCACCACTCAGGCCGGTCCTCTCCCTTCTCCCTTTTTGGTGTTGTTTGGAAAGGGCCTGTCTTCCGGGAAGGCCCTTCCTCTCATGCTCTCGCTGTGTGGCCTGCACCGCGCCTGAGGGGGTGGCAGACGGATGCCGGGAGGGCCTGTGCAGGCTGGGGGGCGGGCTGCCAGACGCCTCCCATCCAGGCACGTCCACGGCCCGAGGCCGAAGAGGCCCACGGCAGGGTGCTCAGGCACCACCGCCGCGGCCCCAGGGTCAGCTCGACCTTCTAAGCCAAGAGATGGCATGTGCAGCACCCCGGCCACAGGCAAGCTCACAGGAGCCCGGGTTGGGCAGAGCTCTCCCACCCCGGCTGGGCCAGCTGTGGGCACCTGCCACCCTGGCCCTGGTGACCCAGAGCCCTGGGGCAGGCACAAGCTGAAAGGGGCGGGTGCTGACACCCGTGGGGACTGGCCCCTGGCCAGAGTCGGGCAGGGCTTAAGCCAGGACCCCCAGGGTGCCAGGCGGCCTGGCTAGGTGCTGGGGCAGGCAGGTGTTGCTCTGTGGGTCCCAAGAGTGAGACCAAAGATGCCGGGCCTTCCTCAGCATCCTCAATACAGAGAGGGCCACAGATGCCGGGCAAGCGTCCTGGGACGGGGGGACGTGCGGTCTGGAGGGTCGTGTGGTCAGAGTGGGAGGGGCCGGGGCAGCCCCCATGCCGTTGCCCCCTCTGGACCCTGTGCTTCTGTGCTGCCTGCCTGCCTGCGGTTGGTCGGTGGGTCGACCAGACAGTGTCTTCAGACAGAAGCCCCGGAGGCTGATGCAAGTGTCGGCAAGGCCCCGGCCACGTCCCCATCCGTGCGTGTGACCCCTGTTCACACAGGAGAATGCGATGTCGCTCCTTTCTGCTTTCTTGGAATATTAATGACTAGCCCTCGCTGAAATGCCGCCTGAATATTCATCCAGAATCAATCCGCCCGGCAGAGGTGGCCCGGGGAGGGAGGCGTGGCCCGGAACCGAGGGGACGGTGACATCGGCCCGGAGCCCAGGAGGCCAGGGCAGGGCTGCAGCCCTTCCTTCCTGGTGGACCAAACGTACTCGGCCATCCTGCTGAGGCGGCCCCTTCTCCAGGCAGCAAGCAGTGACCTTCCTGCCCTCGCTGGGCTCAGGAGCCTGGCACCAGCTGTCTGAGGCCTAGATGGGGAGACGGATGGTCTGGCTCAGGGCCGGGCGTAGCCAGGTGTGTGGGGAGCCCCCCCCCATCCAACCTGGGGCCCCTGCTGGTAGGAATGGTGCTGCTCACCCTGACCGGCGGCCGCCCTCGTGAATGGAGCTCACGTGACCAGAGAACGGGTTCCCAGTCTTACCAGCGGCCCCCAGCACCGCCTTCCTTCTCTTTGCTGTGCTGCCCCTCGGACTGGTGGCACTGGGCATCTCTCCGACCTGGAGGACCCCCTCTGCCCACTGCCCAGCCCCGGGCTCCTCCAGGCCGGGCTGCTGCCCGACGCCCACCTGAACTGCCTGGCTGAACTGAGGGGCCTCTGTTGCCTGTGGGGAGAGTGCTAGGTAGCTCTCTGATGATATGCCCCTGGGTTTTAAGTGTGAATTCATCATTTATAACAACACTGTGACATAATGGGAACAGGAATTATTTGTATGCTTTTCAAATTGTACTTCGATGACCCTGTTTCCCCGGCTCCGTGCATGAAAGTGCCCCAACGAACACGGTGATCCTCCTTAGTCCACACCCTGGGGCTGATTCAGCCTGTGCGCACACTCACTGGTGTCCTGAGCGGATGTGTCCCTGAGAGCATTTCAGAGTGGCTGCGGTCGCTCCCCTCCCTCTTGCCGTGTGGCTGGCTGGCGCACGCATGTGTGTGCGTGTGTGCACGCTATGCAGACGTGTGCACACAAGCGTCCTCACTTTGGAGCAGGGGCAGCTCCAAGCTGGGAGGCAAGCGTCCCGGCTCCGTTTGCCTTTCCGGCTTCCCGCACATGGTCCTCTGGTCACTGTCTTCAGAGTTGGTTCGTGTGGGGATGGGTCTTATTCCCGACCATGTGCTGGGGGTGGGGGGGGATCACTTCTCTCCACCACCAGCTCCTCTTGCGAGAGAGGGGAGAGGAAATGGGTCAGGGGGAGTCTGGACTCACTGCCCAGAGTGGATGGGGCTGCTGGACACGGCTCCTCCCAGGGGCTGGGAGGGGTTCTGGGGAGCGCAGCTCAAGGCCAGCATTTCCTTCCGGGTGGGGGCTGCTGGGAGGAGGGTGCAGTGGGCTCCAGGGGCCCCTGCAACCCAGAAGGACCAGGGCCCCTGCTCTCCTGGCCCCCTGCTCCAGGAAGGTGCCGGCAACCGGGGCGACAGCTGCAGGGCCTGCCTGGGGGCAGATCAGCCGCCCTGGTCTTGACCTCAGGGACACGACCTGAGGGAACAACCTTTGGAAGGACCTTCTCAAGGAGACCTGGCCCTCTGTCGAATGATGAGTGAGCGAATGAATAGGACTGTCCTGTCTCAGCCCTTTCGAGACAGACCATCACAGACCTGGTGGCCCATAAACAGCAAACATCTGCGTCTCCCGAAAAGTGAAAGTGTTAGTCACTCCATCATGTCCAACTCTTTGTGACTGCGTGGACTGTAGCCTGCCAGGCTCCTCTGTTCATGGGATTTTCTAGGCAAGAATACTGGAGTGGGTAGCCATTCCTTTCTCCAGGGGGATCTTCCTGTCTGTTTCTCCTAGTTGGAGCTGGAAGTCCAAGGTCCCAGGGCCAGCAGAGTGGGTATCTGGCAAGGGCAGCTTCCAGGATCCCAGACACCGTGGAAAGGGCTGTGCTCTCTGGGTCTTTGTCTATAATCCCATTCTTGAGAGTGGAGCTCCCCAAAGCCCCACCTCCTAATACCTTCTCCTGGGGTCTAGGATTTAACATGTAAACTGGGGGACAGGCACATACTCACCACAGATGCCCCGTGTCCCTGGGGCTGGCACTCAGTAGTCCCTCCACTTTCTTAACGACTGTGTCCAGGGTCACTCAAGGCCTCCATCAGCTGGGTCTCAGGGGCAGGAGGTCTCCCTCCAGAAGAGCCCAGGGGCGTGGGTGCTTGCCTTTTGCTGAGTTGTCCCTGGGAAATCAGCCCCACTCTTTAGGACCTGGCCTGCAGAAGTCCTTCTGCTTGTCTCACCTG